CTTGAGGCTGTTACCTCTTGTCCTATCACTTTGTCTGCTGAAAGTTACACTGATAAAATATTGAGAAATTTGGCAGCAATGGCAGAAGCAGCACATAAAGGACCATATTCTCCAGTCATGGGGAGAAAAAAGGATCCTACGTTACCAAAACCAGAGAGTTGAGAGCCAAGAGCACAAACAGCAAAGAAGATTCACAGTACTTCAAAGGCAGCATAGGGAAGAGATCACTAGAAAATGGATTGCCACGGAGAGCAAGAGAATAGTAAAGAGTGGATTGGAGAACACAGGTAAACTAAAAGGGGTGGGGGAGCAAACCTGCCAATCCATGCTTAATGAAAACTAATCCTTTTTGCTATGAAAACATCCAATTTTTAAAATAAATAAGGGTCTGATACTGGAGTCTGCAATCATTCCAAATTCCCATGTACTCCACTAGGAATTAAAAGCATTTTTGTAGATGAGTAAGGCTGTTATTACAGGGGGGAAATGAGCAGAAAGCTGCAATGCACCGGTCCTGATGTCATCCCTGAGTGCTGAAAGTTTTTATGACTGACCTGGTTTCTGGATCATTCGTTTGCACTGGTCAGTGAAAGCAGGACAAACTGCATCTCTGGGGAGTTTCAGCTTCTCACTGCCTGGCACAGGGGCTGACCCACATTATAGAACATAGATCACTCAATGTCATTTGTGTAGGAAAGCTAAAATCCCGCTGATAAGACATTTGTTGCCTCAGTTCCACCACCCCAACAGCTCACACTGGCTGCTTACTACCTTCCCGGGCACAGCTATTCACACGAGGGGGACCACTTGCCCTTTAGTCTGCAACTGCAGATGCAACTGGCTCAAGACATTCAGTTCTACGACCATAAGCCCCAGCTCAAGCAGATCTACCACATGCCATGTAAATATGTCCACATTGTCTTGCATTCAGTGTCTTCTGCATTCCTCAAAACACTCACCATTGCTCTCCTCTGCATTCTGTCCATTTTTAACATGACACCAGCAAGTTTGATCGGTGCTGAGTAACAGCACTAAGTACTTCCAGTGCCTTCCAGATAACATCTCTGTTACATTCCGGAATAATTACCCTGTTTTCATCAGCCTCCCACTACCGACGGATGAGTGGTCTGCTATAGTCACTAAGACTATGGCACTGCTGCTTGTACACTGGTAACACACAGAAGTCTGTATTTGCAGAATCCAGTTTCCCTACTGACTGCCTAGACCTTGAGCTTAACTTCCATTCTAATGTGCTGACCCTTCAGCCCAGCATGACCATCAGAGCTGGTAAATCCCAGGGTAAATGACTGGGCACACAAGTGAAGGACCATGGATTTAGGTGCCTCAGGGCAGATCATGGAAGAGACCATGTGTTGAGATATAACTGTTATCTTCATAAATTTAACCTCAGTGCTTAGCTTAGTACATTACAGAAACCAAAGGAAAGACCAAGTGGCCACTTTCCCCAATCCAGCAGTTTTATTTGCATTCTGGCTTTCTTTTCCATAGTTACAAGTGCTATGTATAGCAGCAGAAATAAAAAAAAAAGAAAAACCTAAAGAACAAAATACATCTTTTCTGAACTCCAGACACAGCCACATCACTCAGAGCACCTACTAGCAAACTGTGCTGTAGTAATAATGGCTACAGCATGCCTTTGTGTCAGAAACATTTTTAATCAAAATTGTGAACTCATTCAACTGTCTCTTACCAAATCAAATCATATTAAATAATTTTAATGAAATGCAAAACTCTGCACAGATCTCAGGAGGAAGCTTCCTGCTCTTTTTATCATAGAATCACATCATAGAATGGTTTGGGTTGGAAGGGATCTTAAAGCTCATCCAGTTCCAACCTCCTGCCACGGAGATGAACACTTGCTGCTCCACCAGGTTGCTCCAAGCTCTGTCCAACCTGGCCGTGAACGCTGCCAGGGATGGGGGACCCACAGCTTCTCTGGGCACCCTGTGCCAGTGTCCCACCACCCTCACAAGGGAGAATTTCTTCCTAATGTCTAATCTAAATCTCCCTTCTGTCAGTTTAAACCAGTTTTCGTACTCCCAACAACCCCTGACACAATGAGGTGTGACAAACTGATTTAAAGTGTAGTTGCAGGAAGAAGGGCAGGAAAGCTCTGCTCTGCATTGTGGGTGTTGTAGTCTTTCTGCTGCCTAGCTGCCTCCCCAGCAGTAGGAGGCTGGACTCCAAGTCCCAGAGCTCCCACCAGAGCCCACCGCACAGGCTCAGAGCCCATATGCCAGGAGGGGGTGACTACATTGTGTCTATTGTATGTTTTTTCTTTTTTCCCCCTGGCATTTTGTACATTCCACGGGAGGTTTAAATCGGGAGTGAAGAGCATGGCAGATGAGCAAGAAATTATGTGTAAACTCGAGAGCATCAAGGAGATCAGGTATGTTTGCTTTGTGCCGCATCAGTTTAGATGAAGCAGCTTTTTCCTCGGGGTGCAGAGGAGTTGCATCGATCTGAAAGTAGCTATTGTGCTACCGAGGGAAAGAAAAGCACCGCTGGGCTTCGTGGTAAGAGCCGAGCATACATTTCCCTAAGTAGGGAAGGAGCCTCTGCTGCTGGGAATCGCCGCTGGAACGCGCAGTGAAGGGCGGCAGTGGCCGTGCATTTCCAGAGCAGTGGACCCCAGTGATAACAGGAGGAGCGCAGGGTGGGAAGGACGCAGCACCCCGCGCAGCCGGGGGAGTGGTGCCGGGCCGCGGTGTCCTTTTTAAAGCCCTTTGAATTATCATTTCTTATTCCGGAGGCGCTCTGGCATAAATCCATTATTCTGCCCCCCTCACTCGCTGGGAAAGGGAGGGGAAAGGAAGGGGATGGCACGGGAAGCAGAGCACGGCACCGAAAGCCGAGGACCGAGGGCGGCCGGTGTCGGGAGGGCGGCGGACACCGGTTCACCGTTGCCCTGGGGCCGTGGCCTGCGAGGGAGGGGACGTGGGACTGATGGTGGCCCCCGCACGGTGAGTCGCAGGGTGCGTTCAACGAGGGGCCCGGCCTTTGGCTTAGCTTTAGGAAGGGCTCAGGGCACCGACACTCACGTAAGGCCTGAGCTGCCTGCGTTTAGCAGGAATCCGGGAGGCAAAGCACGTTACAAAGGAAGTGAGGGCAGCGGGTTTGGATGTAGCCGGTAGGTGCAAGGCGTGCAGACAGTGGGTCACCCCACACCAGGAGGGTTTTGGGACATGGCAGCTAGCGAGCGGCTATGGAGGAGAGAGGCTCTGCCACCAGCAGCGTGTGCGGTGGGCACAGAGACTGCTGGCAGGGAACAGCACCCCTAAGCAGCACGGTTTACCCACAGAAAAGGTGAATTAGGCAGCAGTGTATGGGCCCCAGCGTTCCTCTCAACGTACCACAAAAGGGAATAAAGATCAAGCAAAAACTTTTCTGTGTCTAACATCTCAAAGCTGTTTAGAAAGAGATGGGACAACACGTTTTGCAGAGCAAGAACAATGCTTTTGTACTCAACTGTTAGGCAGGCTCTGATTTAAAATACAGATCTAACTATGGGCTACTACAGTTCATGGTCCAACTATTATAACAGTTAACATAAATATCTCATGAAATTATCTTTTCAGAGAGAGTGGTGTCCTGTATTTGGAAATCTATGGTGCATTCGGTGTTCTGGTAATATATTCAAAGGTGATACATAAACTGCAACTAAGACATTTCTGCTGTTGGTTTGTAGCATAAGGTGCCGTAAAGGTGATGTTACTGGCTTTAGTGTACAATGAAAGTTTCTAGAATGTATTTTAAAGTAAAAAGAAATAGTCAAAAAGGCAATCCTATTTGCAACATTGATGTCAAGTCTGAGTTGCCTTTAACAAAGTCTGATCAAATAAACCTATTTTTTCATCCCCAAATCTCTCAAAAGGAGCTTGCAATCGATGAAGCATTTACTTCAAAATGAACATGAGAATTTCTTGTTTACAGGCACACCTTCGAGAGATTTGGCAGGCTTAATTTTCATCTGTATTCCATGTATTATCCTACAGGCAGAGAGGGAAAAAGCCCTCACAATCAAAATCAGAGAAATTACCTATCCATGTTGTTGATCTCTATCACTTAATTAAAGGCAGCTCAGCAAGGCTTTTGAAGGAATTCGGGAATCTGAATTTGAAGACCTGTATCTATATCTATATCTATACATACATACATACATACATATAATTTATAGTCAATGGAATACTGCTGTCAGTAAGCACTTGTATATGCCCACAATCCAAACATATCTGCACGTGCTAATTTATAGGTATTAAGTAGTTTCACAGAAATAACCCCAGTCATAAAATTAAGCAAATACTTAAAGACTGGACCTCAGTGTTCTGCCTGGGAGGAGGTAAAGAATGAGAGTGAACTTAACTGATGGCAGATGCTCATTTCACTGCTTAATGCCCTCCTGGGGTGCACTTAGTGGCTACTCTCATCAATACAGTGTACGAACTTAAATAGACGGGTAAAGAATACGAGGGCAGAATTGATTAGCAGTCTAGAAATCACACAGTTTCTGTTTCAAAACATTACTGGATATTGCCTCATGTTAACAGGAGGAGTTCTAACTTGTGTGCACTTTTTCTTTCCTAGTATCAAAAGTTAATCATTTGGACTGAAATAATCCCCTGCAACTCATTTGCTGGGGAACAATTTGGCAGAACACAGCAGACAGTGACTCATAACAGTGAGGAAACTGATCAATTTGCACTGTCTTAGGTGAATGAATGCCACAAATACAGAGAGAAGAAACAGGGAGGAAACTGGGGACAAATACTTCCAGTTTCAGTAATCAAAGCTGCCATTACTAAATGAATGTTTTATGTAAATGGGAACAGTGAGACATGATGAAAACAAGCGTAGATGGTTGGATGGTACTTCTTAGTGGGATATTGCTGCATTTGAAATGGAACGTAGAGAGGATCTCCTTTACTGGTTTATGTTCAATATTATGTCCAGTCAGGCTAGTATATGCCATTGGCTAGTACATGACAGAACACTGCCAATGACATTAAACATTACAACGTTGTAGCTACATACTTGAATTCCATCTACATTCCAAGCTTCTTCCGCACTTCCTTCATAAAACTTTTACTAGTTGACTTATTATTCCATCAGCTGGTTTTTGCTGTAATGGTGAGATAAGGATTTTTCAGAACAAGTATGATACAAAGCAGTTTCAGAAAGAGCCTTTGGGGACTGGGAATGGAAACAGTTTGTAACGGGAACAGATGCCCCACAAAGGTTTAGAAATCTCCTTTTCTAGAAACAGGTGATAGATGAGCTCCCCCCAGGGGGCTCAGTGCCTTCTGCTTCCATTAAAAACCTCAGAACTGTGTTGCTTGCTTCTATAGCAGCAAGTCTGGGCCTAGGGGGAATGGAAGTTACACACCCAGTTCTAGGATCAAGGTGAAATCCCTGTGCTGGGATTTCATCGCTAGTCTGATAGGCAGCTTCCTATAACCTACAGACTGCATTCCATAGTCAGCTTTGCTGCTTACAGTGAATTTCAATCAAACTTACCCACGTTGCACTGGGATGGGAATAGGATATTTAAATATGAGTGGAAACCTCTTCTTCCCCACCTCCCTCTTCCATCACGCCTATAGGAAGACTTCTGTGTTATTGAGTAGTGCGCTTGGAAACCGGTATGGATCTGTCTGTGCTAGGTGACTAAAAAAGAATGCTACATGCTTGTTTCACACAAAGCAAAGCAAGGAGTCCTACAACTCTTCGTTACATGCCTGAAATGCAACAATGCAGCCACTTTTAAGAAACATTTAAGTGTTGTTGACACATTGGTTACCCAGTATCATGTTCTAACTTCCCGTACAAGAAAAATAACTAAGGCTTCTTCATTAACTAGATCACAGGAACAAGAACAGTTTGTTTGTTCTTTTCAGCAGCTTGGATGAGTGTGGAATCACACTCCTGCTGAAACTGTCTGATGACTGAAACTCACACTCCTTAATAACTAGCTTTGAAGAGAGAGATAAGGGCTGCGTCACAACATTTTTGCTATGGAACTAGGGATTTGCACAAATGAAAAAGATATTAAAATGCAGGATATGGGCAGAAACATTTACAAACATGACAGGTACTAGATCTTAGCAAAGAACCAAGAGAATGCAGAGCTGCTTGCAGGTGAGATGTTGATGGCCAGTGTCATTTGAGTTTTCACTACTCTGATACGTAATTGCTCTAGAATTTTCTTTAACCTGACATTGAAGCTAGTATTTTAGCAGTTCAAATTAGTGTCCACATAGTTTTAGTCAGTGTATACGACCCTGTAATCACCTTCAGTTCATTTTACATTTCTCAGAATCCTGTGCTAAACCTCCCAGATCTTCTGGGTTTCTCTATTTTGGTTTAATCAGAGATAACTGATGCAGTAGAACTCTCACTGGTACCAATTCTCTGAATCTATAGCAACTGTTAAAGCCTGACAATGTTCTGTTAATTTCAGAATTCAGTATAAGAATTCTAATAGCACTGAAAAGCTCAGCAAAAGAGCTGGGATGAGAATTCAGCTCTTGTTACACCTCATCTTTTCTCAGACCTGTTTAGTCTTGCCCTTGTCTATTACCGCTGTTACCTCTCCCATCTATTCACATATAAAGTGACACCTCACAAAAATACATTGCAGTGACTTAACTGTTCTCTCTCTGTATTTTCACTTATTACTGGGATCCAGGAATAAGACTTTGCAGATGGAAAAAATAAAGGCACGACTGAAAGCAGAATTTGAAGCCCTGGAGTCTGAGGAGAGGCACCTGAAAGAGTACAAGCAGGAAATGGACCTGCTGCTGCAAGAGAAGATGGCCCACGTGGAGGAGCTGCGGCTGATCCATGCTGACATTAATGTGGTATGCAACAGTCCAGCTGTGGACAGCCCAAGAGTTGTAGATGAATCACTCCACAGGTTGTGCAATTGTGCACATCACTGGTTCAATAATCCAGACTCCACAGCATCATCCTGGCATCCTACAAAGCGGCAAAGTCTGTTCATCTCAGGATAACTGGTTTTTCCCTGTCTGAGTTGGGCAGGGTATTTCGTAATGTTGGCATATTAGCACCAAGAGGATAGATCACCAAGCCCACTGTAGCTACAGCTTTACCAGTAGCCACAGTAACATCACTCTGGCAGGCCCACAGAAGAATGTTCTTCCTTTATTTACCACCTCAAAATAGAGAACCTTTGGCAGCTAGGTGGGACTTCTGATTGGAGGGTCTTGGAAGAGAAGAGATTTTGGTAAAATACATACATACTCACTAAATTCTTAGTAAGAGCTGACCTTCATCACTGAGTGGAACCACCAAACATTTAAGAAGCACCAGCCTGAATGGAATTAACACAAGTAAGAGAAACCCAGTTTATGAACAAGGAAGACTGGGCAATTAGAGGGGCTAAATGGGGAATGCATTTTTAAACCAGCAGGTTTTATGTCATGTTAGGGCACTTACATGGCTGTACAGTGGTTTCCTGCTCTGAAGGTATCCATGCTTTGCACCAGCAGAAGAAAGCTCCCACACTGTAAGCAAGTACAAGCTACATGCTGGATGTGCAGACTGCATTTATTATCACTTGAACAGTCTGTTCCCCATCCCAGCTGCATAACCTCAGTCTCTGTTTCATTCTCCGCTCTTTTCCTGTCACGTTGTCTTCTTCTCTGCTTTACTGAAGTAAGAGAAGCAGAAACCTTTCCGTAGCTTGTTAGCTTCTAACCATTGGCGTTCAGATAGCTTAGAAATACAGAAAACTAGTTTATTCTGATTTCTTTTTTAATGTCCCCTGAGGGTTTCCCATAGCTCCTCACTTGCTGACTTACCTTGTAGCCTGTCTACCTGTTTTCTGTTTATCAGAAGGTCATATAGGTTGATTGCATCTTTTTAAAATGAAAATACATCTCATATGTCACTTTGAATTGCTTCTTCCTTGCCCAGTTTTCATCCTCCCAGTATCTTTACTTTTTGTTTTACTACTGCATAGTCTCCAATCTCTTCCAACTTGAGTGAGAAAAATCTCTTCTTTCTGATACAGTCTCTTGCTCAGAGAGCTATCAAAGGAAGGGTTCTTTAAAAGCATGCCCATACTTCTGTTTCAGATGGAGAATACTATCAAGCAGTCTGAGAACGACCTCAACAAGCTCCTGGAATCTACTCGTCGCCTGCATGAGGAGTACAAACCCCTGAAGGAGCACGTAGATGCTCTGCGGATGACTCTGGGATTGCAGAGGCTGCCAGATCTATGTGAGGAGGAAGAGAAACTGTCCCTTGAGTAAGTCTCCAAAGCAAAATTATCTGGCTTTATACCTTCTCTTGATTCTCCTGGTTATTCTGTCATTTTACTTGTGTTGGTTGGTGGGGGAGGGTGACAGAATTAGGTACTATTCAAAGAACAGTGTCCTTTGTTTTACAGATCAGTTTTAAATGCAAGGGATGTTTTAAGAAAGTGACATTTCTCTTAACACCCAGCACATTTGGCATCATTTTCACAGATACACAGTTTTAAAGATGCCTTTTGCATTTCTTCAGATATGCTCTTTTCCAATCCAAGCACCTTCAAACTACAAAGAACGTATTAATCTATTGCATATAAAAGTTATTCATTTTAAAAATAAAATATAACAACTAAGTTTGGCAGAGGCGCATCTAAATCTGTTGAAGATTAAGTATGTATGTTGTCTAATTGCCATCCTATTAGATTTATATGCAGTTGTACATCACGATACCTTAGAAGCTGAGTATCTGGAATCTGGCTGAAGTGTACAAATGCAGAGGAAAATACCACCAATTCTATTAATGAACTAGTCCAAGTGGTGTCTAAGCACAGGAAATTTGTCTTTAGTGGAAGAAGACGATAGGGAAATGTGATCCATTGTATTTAAACACAAAATATCCTTTACAAACTAATGGAATACTCCAGAAGGTGGTTATATTTTTATTTGGTTTCCTTTTGTCTAGCTACTTTGAAAAGCAGAAGGCGGAATGGCAGACAGAACCACAGGAGCCTCCCATCCCAGAGTCTCTGGCTGCAGCTGCAGCGGCTGCCCAGCAGCTGCAAGTGGCCAGGAAACAAGATACCAGACAGACAGCAACTTTCAGACAACAGCCCCCTCCAATGAAGGTCAGGACAGGGAACGTGCTGGGGTTTTGCTTTTGTCTTACGTTTATAAAGTTATCAATTTATGAAAAGGAAAAATGATGTGTCCTGATTCTGGTTTTTCCTGCAGTGATTCAGATCAAAATTAACCCCAGTAGACTTAAAGTAGTAGCACTGGTCATGAAGGGTTAAGGACAAGGCTCTGTATTATTTGACTCCTTTATGACTTTAAGAGTCTCCATCAGCAAGAGATATTGGCAATTCCCACTCCTCTTGTTTCATGTGGGAGAAAGGCATGAAAGAAGAAAAAATGCAGAGCAAAAGAACAACTAATAGCTGGGAGTTAATTCCAAAGAGGTTCATATTAGAGCAATGCACATATTTTATGAGGGAGAGTACTTACTGATGGTACAAATTGCCAGAAAAGGTGATTGTTTCTGCACTTCTTGGGATCTTCAAGTCAAGACTAACATATGAATTAATTTAACCCAACCACAGGCACTTAAGTGAGTTTTACTCAGCTCCTGCAGTCGGTAAAAACAGCTCAGTAATTCCACAGGGATATTCATCCCACCCAAGTTCCAAAGATTCACTGACTAAGGAGGCAAACTGACATAGGTACACTCCAAAGTTCTGTATTTACCACCTGGACTCACATCATCAGAAAGCCTTTCTGAAAGTAACATGCTGATGGAAGTTAAAGGGCTTAGTATGGAGCAAAGGGCAGAGTTCTACATCTTGTGTTAAATACGTGGAATTCATCTAATCACCCGCTCCTGCCTTGAATTCTGTGGCTCCACAGTTGGCCTTTACTGTAACTTCTCTGGCTCAGTTGTAAACATCTTTATGAAACTTTTAACACAAACCAGAATTCAATGTTAAAGTTACTGATCCACACCTGAACCACGTGTCTGCTGAGCTGTAGTTTCAATTCAATAAAATACACACTAAAATAGTGTTCTGCTTGGTCTAAAGTTACTGTACAATCCAGAGACCTGCATTGTATAGAATGGAGCCACTGGTTTCCCTTTGAAGGCAAGTGGCCTTAGTTATTTTTTTGTGTTCTGTGATACTCAATAACCTGTGTAACACCACGTGAATGTTTGTAACAAGAGCTGCAATGTTGCATTTCAGGCGTGTTTATCGTGTCACCAACAAATTCATCGGAACGCACCCATCTGCCCACTCTGCAAAGCAAAGAGCCGCTCCCGGAATCCCAAAAAGCCCAAGAGGAAACAGGATGAATGAAACCCAGAAGACTGACAAGCAAACACGTGACCCATTTCCAGTACCCTTCCAGTAGAACTGCAGATGTGGCCAGACTTTACTGACGTGCAGACTGAAGTATGACCGATCCCTTGTTTTCTATTTAATGCAATGTAAGCACAATGTTCCTATTCTGTCTTAATTTCCTTTCCAGTCCTTAGGATTTGGTTTTAGGAAAGTAAGTATTACTGGTGCTACGGTTTAACATTTCAACCATTCCATGTTTTGGACTCCTAAACAAAGTAGAATTCTTATGCAAGTATCCCAAATGCAAGGCTATTCCTATTGGCCAGATGTGGTTACCACAGATGCTTTTATGTTCTCTTTTTAAAAACAAATGTTACTAAAAGATTGAGACTATTTGAAGTGCTGAAATAACTGTCTACTTGTTTCACTAAAGAACAAGTTGTTTTCCAAGCTAGTAAGACCATAGGTTTGGGCATCCAGTAGAGCTCTTTTTATAAAGGAAATATTCAGGAGAAAAAAAAAGAAATTGATTATAAAGGAAATCAGTGCATTAAGGACACGTGAGTTTTGATTTACTGGAATTTGACTGTACCATTCCCTCCAACTTGACTTAAAATTTGAAAGTGGGATCAAGTTGCTGGCTGTGTGTGAAATTCTAAAAATGATGTAATCTGTGATGCTTTAACATCTTAATATCATCTTATTTTCATCAGTTAGAAAACTGATGAAGAACAAGGCTCAACTGTACTGTATTAGTGGTCCTTCCAGGCTCTATGGCCAACCGGCTCACTGTGGTTCTCTAGGAAACCTGTATGAGATATGCCACATCTCTATGCACACAGACTGCAACATCAGCCATTCTCACATCTTCTATTCCTAGTTTCCACAGCCAAAATCTCCCCTGGCAGACATATCCTCCACTGGAGCACAGGGAAGTTCCGTAACATGCACCAGGGACAGTGTCAGCTGCCTGGCTTTGGTGCCATTGTCCTCCCTCAACCAAAGCTTCCTATTTTTGTGTCTTTAAATAGGTCATTTTCAAGTAAGCTTTAGTTCAGCCCAGTTTTTTTTCTTGCTCAGTATGTGTGCCAAAAGAACCCTGACTAAATGATCCTCTAGACCACTCCCTCTGTCTGTGTCTTCCCTTTGTTTCACCTCATGCATCATCAGTTCCTTCAATGGGGAGGATGGCAGTGACCCAACTACAGAATCAGGGCTTAAAATTCACTCATTTCTGATCCCAGTTTTGTTACCACCTTTGTTGTCTAAATTGATCTCAAGTATTAAAGAATCTTTTCACTGACTTCAGGAGGCAGGGACTGTCTGTTTTCTTTTCCCTTTAGCCCAGGTCTTCCTCTACTGTTATGCTGGAGTGGTTATACCGAGAACTTTGCCTGAGGAACAGGGAAGCCCTGAGTCTCTGGTCAGAACTCTGCCAAATCCAAATCTCTACAAATGCAGATAAATCAGTTTTGCTGGGCAAATCACATACGTTGCTATTAATTTCCTAACTCCACCACAATGCACGAGTGTTTTATTGAATATAGTCCTATAATTCGTGCCAAGTTCAGGTGGTATTCTCCCATTTTAATGTTTCACAGCCACATAAACATCTATCAACAGCAGAGACATGCTTTCCATGCCCCTGAAGATACGTGAAGAGCAGATTCTACTGGCTGAATTACTGGGATTCAGCCTCTGAGATAGCAATAATGGAGGATAGTCTAACCCCATGCTCCAAGTGGCAGCACTGTGCTAACTATCCTTATACATGTTTCCTACACAAATACTGGATTCTACTTTTAAACGTCAGAGCGGCCACATGCTGTGTGCCCTGGTTCAAGCAATTCCTGTTGAGTTTCAGGGAAAATGCACACAGAGATAAAGGACAGCATATGGACTCCCCCAGCACGGATGCATGAGAGCAGCATACTTCAGTAGTTGAACATAAATGTAAGAAGTGGTGACAATGGAGAATGGGTGAATGGTCTGCAATGAAGTTGTGTGAATAGAGGATAGATGTGTAGAGACTTGAACTTACAGTTCTGAAATGGATAGGGTTAGCCGTAGCTGCTCTCATTTCGCTGTTAACTTTGCCAGGTTCTTTCTTTCTTGAGAGATCTCTAGAGCTCTGAACTGAAGGATGCACCATTTACTACTTTAGTATGGCAATTTTGTAGTTCTAATTTTTTAAACTAGTCCCTTGTGCCCTCGTGTTTAACAAGGTTTGCTTTTTTTAGAAGAAAAAGATGTGACTATGACATAACTGTTTCTATCAGCCATGTTCTTGTGTTTACAAATCTGTTTTCACATCCTTTACCAAGTTCTGCCATATGAATAGTGTGTGTTGCTGAGCATGAGTCTAACTGAATACGAGTCAACAGTTTGCCCTGGCAGCCAAAAGGGTCAACCATATCTCCTAGGGTGCATTGAGTTGGTTGAGGGAGGTGATTGTCCCTCTCTGCACTGCACTGGTGCAGCCTCAAGTACCGGGGGCAGTTTTGCACACCTTAATATAAGAAGGACAGGAAACTATTAGAGTGTGTCCAGAGGAAGAAAACCGAGATGGTGAAGGGTCTTGAGGGCAAGACTTATGAGGAACTGCTGGTGGACAGTCACTGGAACAGGCTTCCCAGGGAAGTGGTCACTGCACTGACCTGTCAGAGTTCAGGGAGCATCTGTCATAAAGTTTAGTGTTAGCTAATCCTGCAAGGAGCAGGAGTTGGACTTGATGATCCTTATATGTCCCTTCCAACTCAGGATATTCTATGATTCTAACTATTTCAAGGACACAAAATCAGTACTATGTATTAAGGGATTCTGGGGGTAGGGGCAGGGAGGAAAGCAGCATCTTTCATAGGGAACCAGTATTCTCCCTTTCTCTCACAGATTAATTAAGGAAGTTTCACTGAGGAACTCTTCTCATGACCGTCCCAGGCCCTTTTCTCCCAGGCACCTTTCTCAAGAGACTAGAGGATAATTGTGAAACAGTGATTTCTTGTTCTTCAGTCAGAGGAGGAAGGTGTCTGAGGTACAGTCCTTCCCAACACTCTGCAATTTTGCTCATGGAGGAACAGTGGGCTCTTCATTTGTACCTAAGATTCTTCGAAGACACTTCTTCACTTGGCTTAAATTCAGTCTTATTTGGGTTAAATTCTCCTAATAGCCACAAAGAGAACCTTCTCACAAAACTTTTACATTACTAAAGTCTGGTTTAACCTTGGCTTTGTCGTTCCCTTTTCAATGGGTATTCAAGTGGCAACAAAATCAGTGGGTTCTTCTGTTACAGATGGTTTCCAGGGTCTTTCCCTGGCTCTTAACTTGCCTCAAAGGACAATCCTGTTGTTTTGCAACCAAATGGCAAAAAAAATATCACAAGCCTCTTCCCCTGCCCCCTTGAGCACATGCTAAAAGAATGCCAACACTCTACTGTGCCTAAAGGCTTTGCTATAGACGTTTTCATAGCCAGGCTGGGGTAGATCAGTTGTTCAGACTTTAGTGACACGTTAGCTATAGGGAAAATGTAAGCCAAATGTTAAGACTTGCATTTCCTGAATTCAACGTTAGCTTTCTAATCAGGACACTGACTGACTGAACCTGCCAGTGGCTTCAAGTTACAGAACCTACTTTTGAAAGAAAGCATAGCCATCGATGTGTTCCTCTAGTACCAGACTATTCAAGAAATGAAGACTTTACTAGCACTTTAAATGAATAAAAGTGCTTTCCTTTATTTTACAGCTTTCTCATTCCTCTGACATACTTTTTCATTTTAGCATTTAGGCATTTTAGCAATATCTGTTGTTTTCACTGACTTCTGTGTTTTAAATATGTCACTCCTGTGCTCAGGAGGATTAACAGTGGCTACCTGTTTAAGTTGTCTGTACAGTTCTTTTTAATAAATGTTTGTTTCATGCCATGCTTTCTTCCTGCAGAGTATTTTCACATCTGTTATTTGCTTATGCTGCTGAGAAGCAGCCATATCCCAGTAGGTAAAAACCCAGCTCTTTCTTTTACAGGATGCAATTAGCCACAATTCTGTTCTATTTTTGTAGAAACTTTATGGAGAGAAATATGGGGAAACAAATATCCCTTCTAATGAGCCTTCAAAAATAGAAAAGGAGACAGCAAGGGAAGTTTTAACCCAGCCAAACTTCCCAGACACATTTCTGGAACACAAACCACTATGTGCTTATGCTCCAAGATTTCTGCATCTATGTAAGAGTCATAAAGAGTGTCTACTTCCCCAAACCAGGTACTTCTGAAACACACCCATCCTCTGCTACCACTGACTACTAACACTGGAACTGGGTAGTCTGCATGCATAAAAATACCTTATTTGCACGTGGAGGTGTCCAGTTGTGAAACTCAAACAGACCCAGAAAAATAACAAGGAAATCATGTCCCTGTTCAGCCATTGAAAGCTCTGACTGGGCATTTCTTTCAGTTTGTGACTGATTCACAGTGCCTCAGCTTGAACTAGTTCCCAGCCAATTTGAACTAATTCAAAACAAACCACTCTTAGGTGGGAACAAGTCTTGCTCAGACAGATTTCAGTTTAACGAGTCATATCCAACACCTTCTGTCAGGTGCTTGATTGCCAAGAGGCCAAAACCCAGATGTATTTTTCACAGTTCTTTACTACCTCCTGTTTTGTTTTGCTTTCTAAAGCAGGTAGAAGAGTTGATTCTACAGAGGTTTTCTCCAAGAGGTCTGCAGCATCTCAGTTCTGATAGTTTGCTGTTCTGATCAAGCAGACTCAAGTTGCATTTCCAGTGGTTTAAGCTTCAAATATAATTCCAACTAACATAAAGATCATTAAAAACATAGTCTCATTGGTGACACAAGCCTCATTTAATTCAGCCAGACGCAAGTACAGTCATCTATATTGAACCTCTGAGTAATTGGCAAAACCTGCACATTTCTGCGTCCATTTTCCTGGAAAACTACTGCCCTCTGAATCCTTATTTCCAGCTTTTTCCCCACTAATTCATCTAAAGACATTCTCAGCCTCTGTT